GATGGCATAACACGAAGCAACTATATTCCTGGAAACGGATCCTTCGGCGCGTGGAGACAGCGTTTCTACATGATTCGAGACATACCTTTCGGTCACCGGCCAATCCGCTGCACAACGTTTGAGCCGAGCGCATATCTGCATGAGCTTGCTACCAACCAGCTGGATGTCACTTTCTTCCTTTCCGTTTCGTCCGCTTTCACTCATCCTCTCAACTTTTCCTACCTTCTGTACATCCACGGTCCAGAGACGCCCAACGTTGGTGACCTGAACGACCGCCAGCTGGGAGTGGGTGCTCCGAGCACTCTTTGGCAGGGTCTGCGTCCCGGCGGGGACATCACCTACCGCGTCACGGCGCAGCTGCGGCAACTGGCCAACGTCCGCCGCCGGCCGTGCCGCTCCCAGCCCGGCTACTCGAAGGCCCAGTGTCTGAAGGAGTGCCTGTGGCGGCGACTGGCGGCACACACCGGCTGCCGGCTGCCGCACATGGTCTCGGCTGGCGTGTTCCTCCCGGAGACGAGCGGTCCGCTCGACCACCTGCCGCCGTGCCGTCTGCTCGTGCAGATGAACGCCTCACGCGACACCACCTACTGCCACCGCTTCCAGGACCGGCGAGAGTACTTGCCGCGCCGGTGTCCCTATTATCGCAAGTTCACCTACAGCTGGTCACAAGCTGATGAAGAGGCCGCGGATCAAGCAGCGGCTGCCTTCGACAGCGGTTCCGAGCCCGAACCGTCGACCGACTGGTGCCCTCCGGACGTGGGTGAGCTGCCGATGACCGAGGCTGACCAGCTCGTGCCGCGCCAACTTCTGGAGGACATGTGCGGTTGCGACTGCCCTCCGGCTTGTCACCAAGTGGTCTACACACTTCACGACACGCGCAGCATCAGCGGTGATGACTTCATCTGCAGAACCAACGTGCATTTGAAGCTGGACCTGACCACGGACCTGGTGGAGGAGTCGCTCTCTTTCACTCCGAGTACGTTGGTGGCCAACCTGGGTGGCTTCATCGGCCTCGTCACCGGCTACTCGCTCCTCACAGTGATTGAGCTGACGGAGCACATCATTAGAGTCGTTTTCCACAAGCTACGCACCTATCCCACACCCGCGAGCCAGGGTGTAGTTAGTGCTTGGAAGTAGAAACGACCAATGAACTGCTATTGCTTGTTAAAAGGTCTTATGGGCTTTTGAGATTTTTTGTGCGTTTTTCGATGGACCACATGCAAAGGGCATCAACGCTTGCTCGGTGAATATCTGCTCAGTGTATTCATAATATCCGAATAGTGACACGGTCTCCCTGCCAGCGGGCGCTGACACATGACACATACCGTACACAGCGCACGCCTTGGTGAATTTTCTTGCGAGCAGCGCCAAGAACAGACTGTTTTCTCCCACCCACCCCGCTACCATACATCCCCGACGGCCCAACCCTCTTCCAGTTTAGGTCGTTTTTAGTTTCTTTCCAGATACGTCTCCCCAGCCAAGAATCAGTCTAGAAGGTCTTTCAAAAGGAATTACCAGACGGAATATGGACCAGGAGAAGCAAGAAGACGGAAACCTTTCTGCTGACTGACTGGTTGGGGTGTGAGGTCGCGAACCGCCAAAAGTTATCGACGGACGCGAGGTTTACGGTGACGGGTAACACACGAACATGTAGCGTTGATTCCATATTTCGCGACCTATTTCAGGATTTCGCTTCTTTTCCGTTCGTTTACAGGCTACATGTTACGTAGGCATATTGCCCACCAGATTTAAGCACATGTTATGTAAAGAATGACAATGCCCAGAATATCTTGTGCTGGTTACAGGTTTGAGAAGTTAACCCGGCAGGCGGTGGGCCTACCAGCCACCTTCCGCGCGGTGGGGGGGGGGGCATTTTTTGCCCCCCCGTATCTCCGAAACTACTGGACGGATCCGGAAAATTCAAACGGCGTTCGATAGCCCTGTCAAATTTGTCGAGGGAAACCAAATTTCATTGACCTCGGGGTCACCGATGACGTCACAGGTCAGGTCAAAGATAAAATGTTTCACCGTTCACGGGGCTTCTAGGGAAAGCGCTGTAACACCGAGTAAAACGCATTTTGTCGAAAATCAGCGATAAGGCGTCAGTTGTCTAGTACATATGTTGCTATTAGAGGTCACTGGTCATACCAGGTCAGGTCACAGGTCAGGTCACCAAAGGTCACCAAGGGTCACCACATGAGCCCAACTTCACTAAGGTTATGCGATGCATGTTTTATGGCCAGTTTTTCATTTCCAACTCAATGGTGTTGGTTATAAGACCATCAGGTACGGTTTAGGTCACTTTCTGGTGAAGGTCAGGTCAAGGTCAGGTCAAAAAAGGTCAAATTTCAAAGTTGATATTTTTGCATAAAATGGGTATCGACTCGATGCAGCCCGTCACGGGGAGTCTAATGGTGGTCTTTGTTTTGCGTTACGAGGTCTAGAATTGCTAAAAATTGAGTTTGAAAATTTGACGTCATCAATTTTGAACAGTTTTTTCGCTATAACTTGGCCAAAAAAAGAGGTATCGATCTCAAATTTAGTATGTAGATAGAAGGCGGTAGGGACTATCACATTTATTCCGGTTTTTTCGAAATTCAAAAAACTTTTTGGATTTTTTGGCTATTATAATCAAACAATCTATTTTTTATTTTTGGGGGTCAAAATCCAAAAAATTCGAAAAACCGAAATTGCAGTTTTGTAGCCCTTTTGATTTCACACCTTTTATGTCTGAAACATTTTTCTGTATCTCTAAAGCTGTAGGCCTGACAGCTCTTCCCGCGAAACCCTTTTTTGGGTCGAAAATGGCAAAAATGACGTCACTCTGACGTCATTAGCGGCCAACCTATCATAGGCTTTGGAAAAATTTTTGGTCACCATGTGCGCTAGCTGCTCCCGGGAGGGTACTGAAAGTTTGGTGACAATCGGCGCAGCGGTTCTCGAGATATATTGAAAAAACTAAAGGGGGGCAAAAAAATGCCCCCCCCCCCACCGCCTGGAAGGTTAATGCGTAATGAATTGCATATGTACTTCTGCACTGGTGCACATACCTACATCTATAACAGCGTTTCATGGGCTAAACAGGAGACGGCGTTTGTCTCTACTTCTCACTCATAGTTTAGAAGGTTATGTCATAGCTTAGAAGGATGAATAAACAATAACATTACTCTCCAGTCTCCTGATAATGTTGCATTGCCCACCTGATGATGTGTAATTTGTATGCGTATACATACATACGTATTACGTATATGTATATTGTATACATACGAGTATATACTTTGTCTACAACTCATGTTCTTGGTAGATGTTTACGATGATTTAAATTTGTCCTTAACCATTCTGCTTGAAGCATTCCACCGGGCATTCTGTCAGTTAGGTCCAGCTTTGACCAGTGGTCGCTGTATTTTTGTCATTGTACAAATAAATATTTTACAATTAGGTATACGAACAAATACGATTATACGAACGCAGACGAATGGAGCAAATCGTGATCTTGGGGCCACCGTTGACGTCACAGTGCCTCACCGTCTCCACCAAGATATATTATACCTACATTGGAAGAATCGCATTAACCTTTGGCTGTTTGCAAATGACCAAGCTTTAACGCGCTAGCATCAGTGCCTAATTGTGGAGTTATTCTAAGAGAATAGTTCTGACACCGTTGCCTTATGTCTTTCATTAATCGCATTACAGGCCGGTTCACGCAAGGACTAAGCCTGCTCGTGTCAAAAATTTCCACTGTGCATTTAAAAAGACTTACTTTGCCCTACTCACTCGCTAGTGAAAAACTAGAGCAACACATAAGGAGGCCAGGTCAGGTCCTATGACTTTTCTAACATAGATATGCGTTTAAGACAGTGAACCCATCCTAGACCCATCCCCGGCTACGTCAAATATGACTGCTCTGGATTTACCAATGAAAATGCATATGCCCACAATCGGGGTGCGAACGAAATCACGGCTCACCTAAATCACCTCGCGTTACCACAAAGTATTACCATTTCGTAGAGTTCCGTCTGACTGCAGGGTTACGATGTCACGCGATGTAGTGTTAAAAACCAACACAGAGACTGTTGCCAAGCTCCCGTGATGTGTGTGGCTGGTCGCCGCTCACGTGCACACACGTGCCGTGCACGTCCATTCGCCATAGCTCACGTGCACATGTGCTCACTCACGTGCGCCACTCGAGCGCAGTATGTACGTACTCGTAAGTACATGGCCACTAGGAAAGATCTTGAAACGGCCATCATTTTCCGTAATACCTACATGATCAAGGCTGATCATGATTGCGATCATGATTATGCATGACCATCGATGATAATAGGCAAGGCAATTAGAAAATGTTGTAGGTACAGGCGCCCACCGCTAAAGTAATGTGTGGTTTTACCAATCTCAACGGATGGCTTTGACCGACGATTTTTAAATGCGGACTGATTGAAAAGAAGACGTCAATAGATAAAGTTGTAGTTGCAAGGGTGAAGATACATGTAAACTATCATTTAAAGTCTCGTTGCAGTCTGGCTAATCGTTCCTAGGCTTCAGAAGCAGAACATACCCATGACTGAAACCACACATTACTTCTCCTGTGGACTGTACATACTACATGTGTCAAGTATGTGCATGAGGGAAGAACAATTCCATCCCACCGGGACGTCTGCAAAGTCCAACAGTCTTCACCCTATTCTGTCATCACATAGCTCTGCAACGAAATTTTTAGGCCGAAAGGGCTCGCTTTCACCACAACAAACTAACAAATGAGGTCACGCGGTTGACCCGACTTTAGGTGACCCAGCTCGGGGCACAATATACCCACATCCACAGTTTTGCGTTTGGCTAAATGGCGACTGCCGCGCCGTGCGGCCGCTAATTCACAAACCACTGCGGCCGTGCTTGCCGAGCCCTGAGGAAGCTGCTACGCCGCAATCGATACTGGACGCTTCCAGCGCCGGCCGCCAGGTGTCGGAGGCTCATCGATCGGCTCGACGGGGCCCGACCGGCGCCCCGCCTGCTCTCGACGGTGCCGCATCCTCTCCGGTAGGTGAGCCCACTTCTGTGACGCCACCATGTCGGAGCAGTTCGCCACCGCGGCCGCCATGTCCTGCCTGAAGATGCTGCTCATGCTCTTCAATGTCTGCTTCTGGGTAAGTCCGAAACCCTGAGTGATGAGTTCGCTCTACGCGGATAGCTTGCATGCTGGTGATGCTGATCTACGCAGTTGTGAGCAGTGGCGGCGGAAGCGGGGGGGCAGCGGGGGCACGGCGCCCCCCCCATCTTCCAGGGTGGGGGGCAAACATATCTTTTTGCCCCCCCCAAAATTGTTATCGACGAAGTACCACAATACTTCCATACTACCTACGTCAGGAACATATGCCAGTTTGGCTGAGTACCTTTTTATTAAGTTGATATAGCGAGTAACTTGGATTTATAATAGCCGTTTTCACGACGGGCTATCCGGCGAGCTAGTCCGTGACGGACTATTTCCACCAAACGCCCTCCACACATAATGCTCAGAAATCAAGCAGAGCTATCTACGAGCTACCGGTAACCGAAGTCTGGAAGAGTAGGACGGAACGCGAGTAACCCGGCACGGACGTCACGAAAGTGCGTCTGAGCGTGCCACAGGCCTTTCCCCGCGACTCTGCCAGACGCCAGCCGGCATAGGCGCGTGAGCCGGGGGGCAGCATGGGGGCAGCCTGCCCCCACAACTCTGGGGCCGTGGGGGTCTCTGCCCCCGCAAAGTTTCAAAGGGCCAGGAACCGTCGGGGCAGCTTGTCCTCCCCATATTAGCGGCCGAGGGCCTCAAAGAAAAGCTGAATGGAAGACAATACCTATTTAAGTAAAAAAAATCCCCCTCTGTACGGGGACCCGCAGTTGCTATTGTACACGAACCCCAACTCTAGCCGTCTGTCCTGTCCAGTAACAACCGATAACATTGATATCGACTGCCGGTCCCTGCACAAGAGCAGCTGAGGTTTTCTGTGCGTGCCCTCTGACAGCTTATCGTTGTTCCCTGTGAGGGTGCTGGGACAATTTACTCAGGGTCGCTGTACAGTAGCAACTGCGGGTCCCCGTACCTGACTTGACAGCTCATGTGTGGAAGCTTTAAACGTTTATTCCAGGTTACCAAAAAGGTAGTTTCTTGACTCAGATGAGACTAATTATCTCACTTATTTGCAAATGTTTTATTTTTTATTTTTGTTGTAAAGGCCAAGAGGTGAAAAATAAGTGGCCTAAAACCGGTGAGAAAACTAGATTTGGGGGTACCCTAGGTTCCGGGAAGGATCAGGTGTGCCCCCCCATCCCAAAATACCTTCCGCCGCCACTGGTTGTGAGGTCAGCCCATGTCACTCAGGTAGAGCGAATAGAATATTGGCAATGGACCAGCGATAAAGGCAAGCAGGAGGCAGGAGGGCTTGAATTCCGAGAGGTGCCATTGATGTTTGATGTCACCGATGTCTTCAATCGCCGCCGGGTGTTAGGCAGTGCTGATTACGTCATGTTGTGCCGTCGCAGGCAACTGTTACAGCTGCGCTGGTGCGCATGCGGCATGCACGATCCTTCCGTCCGCCGCGCCGACCATGAACAGGAAGTGATCGACACGTCTTTGAAAGGAGATATATCTTCAAAAAAGCTTCCGTACCTATAGAAATAAAAGACGAAGATGATTCGTTGAAGTGAGAAGGGTATTGGCATTGCTAATGAACGTGCTTCTGTTTGCAAATTGCAACGAGGCCTCACTAGAATCACTTTATCCTACCATTAGCGCATTGCCCATCCACTGCTCGCGATAGGTTTTCTGTATAGCCATATGTCTACGTTGTGTTCTCGCACTGCATCCCGCCGTGACAGCCCCTCACCCCCTCCCCAGATTAGCGGCATCGTGATCCTGGGGATCGGCATCTGGATCCAGATCAGCCTGGACAAGTACGTCGAGGTGTCGCCCGAGTTTTCCGACTCTGTGCCGTATGTGTTCATCGCCAGCGGAGGGCTCATCATCCTGCTCGGCACGTTCGCGTGCTGCTGTACCGTGAAAACGCAGCCGGTCCTGCTCTACATTGTGAGTGATGCGGGCAGGGTATGAGCGGTGTCAAGGACATACATATGTAGGGGCGGTGTATGACCTTGGCCGCGGCAGCGGGCACTTCTGGTATATCAGCGAACGGCACCTCTGCGCATTGGTAGCACCTTGGGTAGCACCACCGTCTTGTTAGCGGCAAGAAACACCGGGGATGAAGTCACGCGATTCTGACTGTTGTTTGCAGTGATAAATAGGGAAATGAAACGTGTTGTTATAAGTTTGCAGCTATACCTTTTAACGTGTCTTATATGCTTCAGATGTCTTCAGACTGCTATTTTGGTGGTATAGATTGAATGAGTTAAGGATAATGACTGTTCAGCGATGTCTCTCTCCATTCCAGTATTCGTTCTTCCTACTTCTGGTATTCTTCATCGTCCTGGCGGCCGGAATATCTGCCTACGCCCACCGCCAAAAGATAGTTGAGGTCTTCCAGGTAAGTGACGCCACACGGATATGACGTCACTGTGACTGTGTGCTGTGGCTGCATGTTGTGAAAAGTGCGATTGATTTTAAAAAATTACACAAACCGTTTGCATTTTTGAGAAGTGAAAAGCGTTCGTGCTGCATGAACGGTACTGTGGATATTACCTAATTAGGCCCTTTTTGTCCTCAGGATGGTCTGAGGAACGGCCTGAAGGAGTACGACGTTGACAAGGATAAGAAGGAGGCCATTGATTTTATCCAATCGACGGTGAGCTGCGCTCCTCTCAAACATCCTATCGAACATCTTTTTTCCATGCCTTCTAGATAGCCCAATCATGAAATGACGTCATATAGTATTGCTGCAGTCGATGTGACAAAAGAAACTTTAGCGTATGTATTTCCGGCAGATGACTAACGTTTCACTTTACACGAACAGTAGGTGATGGATAAATCGCATCTCCTTTCATGACAACTGACGCCATGATTCTCGCACAAAGTCACAACGCCCTACTGGCTACTGCAGTTTTCGACACTTCGCCACCCCTAACGTCCGGACGCTCGGTGTATCTAAAGCCCCCTCCCCTCTGCCCGCCCGTGCAGCTCCACTGCTGTGGCATCAATGGCACCACCGACTGGAACAGCACCCCGTCGGCCCGCTCTCCCGACTCCTGCTGCGCCCGATGGAACGAGGACAACACCTGTGTGGTCGTCTACCACAACGTGAGTCGGGCGGGAATGAGAGAGGGCCAGAGCTCTCCGGAGATAGCATGATTCAAGGGACAAGATACCAGGGCAGGCCTGACACTCCCTGAGTGAAGTATGAGACTGACTGCGGACGCTCTGGGTGATCTGGGACAGCCTTTGTCACCTGTGGAGACCCGCGACGGTCTGTGGATGCCATGGGTGCTCTGGGACAGTCTGTGGGCACTCTGGCTGATTTGGGGACATACCGTGGATGTTTTGGGTGATCTACTAGGGACAGTTTGTGTCACCCGAGGTGACATGGGACACTACGCTCACGCCTTGGGTGATTTGGGACAGCCTCTGCCGCCTTAACCCGCGCCCCACTGGGGTCTGCGTATAACACGCCCTACTGGGGGGGCTATTCATAGCCCCCCCTCCTAACTCCGAAACTACTGGGCCGATCGTCAAAATTCAAACGGCGTCTGATAGCCCCGGAAGAACTGTCGAGCGAAACCTAATTTCATTGACCTCGAGGTCACTGATGACGTCACAGGTCAGGTCAAAGTAAAAATTATTAGCATTTTGCTTGTTCACGTTTTGGGCTCTGGCCGCCGTCTTACCAGTCAGATCAGGCTCATTTTTGGATCACACACTCGTGAACAGATGCTCTAGATACCCCGAGGGTACCAAACTTGTACTTTGATTTTCAGGTCAAGGTCAGGTCATCACAGGTCACGAAAATATTATATCATGCGTCGGTCACGTGACACATGTTTTATGGTCCATTTAGGCCAGAGATTTCGAATGTGATGTCGTCTGTGTCATTCGAGGTCATTTTGAGTCGAATTTAGCTTAGGTCAGGTCACTTTCAGGTCAAAAAAGGTCAAATTTTAAAGTTAAAATTTTTCAACAAAAAAGGTGTCTATTGGATGCAGTTTGAGCTCAGAAACACGATGGTGCTATTTATATTGGCGTACGATGTCAAATACGTGCTGAAAAATTGATTTGAAAAATTAATAATTTTGAATTATTTGCAATAATGCGTAAAACTTGGCCATTTTTAAAGATATTTAGCTAACACTTGCTAGAGTTAGTCATAATAATGCGTTCTATTACATATATTCCGGTTTTTTCGAAAAGTCAAAAACTTTTTGAAAAAAATGCGCTATTCTTAGTCCTCTCATGCAAAGAAATTGGATCTGGCTTAAAAACTGAGCTCTTGGGAGCGATTGCCGTGGTTCAATGTTTTGCGTCGAAATCGGCCGAACATGACGTCACTCTGACGTCATTTCCGGCCGACCTATGGTAGCTACGAAGTTAAAATTTTGACACAAGGTGTCAAATTGATGCAGCCGAAGGTACTGAAAGTTTGGCGTCGATACGTGAAGCGGTTTGGAAGTTATCGCAGAAAAACGGGAGGGGGGCTATAAATAGCCCCCCCCAGTGGGGCGCGGGTTAAGTATGAGCTGGGACAGAGTATGCCACCCGAGGTGACCTGGGACAGTGAAATGACGAATATCAAACAGCACATGCAGCCTGCAACAAAGACCTCGTCTAGCTGCTCATTACAAGGTGTTCTGCTAAGGCCCAGCTAGACAGTGGACACACAACAGCTCAACTGCACTGCAGGGAAGCGAAGACGGACAACAGCAGCATCGCCTCAGTATGTGGCTCTCCTCAGGGGGTCTTTCTCGGTTCGTAGAAGGCTGGCCGAGTCCTAGCGACCCCCAGGTGATCCATTCGAGTACCATCTAGCTGTTCAAACACATCGAGCCACAGATCGACTTAGCGACCTTTTGGAAAGGAATGCAGGCAGCCTGGTCGTCAGTGAATAATGATACATGAGGATAGAGGTCACCTGCGAAACGCCTGGACAAGGCTTAAGGAAGTAGGCACCAGACATGTGCATGGATCCGAGTGGTGGATCTATGATCTCAGTGGTCAGTGGATCTCGAAGCAAAGTACCTACAGGTTGGGATCTATGATCCCACCGGATCCGGCGTGAAAAATGCATCTTGGATCTATGATCTCATATAATCTGACGATAAATTAAGAACTAAATTAAGATCTATGATCTGAGTGGATCCCACCATGCACCACATTTGAAACCATGTTTTAAATCATGTTTTAAAGGGCTTCTATGCCAATAAGTGACACAAAACTATGGATTATGACGTGCGATCACATAAAATCACTACAACAGAACGTTTGTGAGTTGAAACAAGTGCTTTTTTGGGATATATGTATTGACAAAAAAAAGTGAGGATCTATGATCTCACTGGATCTCAAGCAAAAAATGAGACTCGGATCTGTGATCCCTATGGATCTATCGATAAATTACAGAGCTGGATCTATGATCCCGACGGATCCGAGATCAGGATCCGTGGGATCAGATCCCAGATATATTTTTTTCGGATCCATGCACATGTCTGGTAGGCACACACCTTTGTTAGTTATTGTGGGCCACCTTATACAATTACTTATAATGGCAAAAAGTTAACATGCTAACCACAAATACCTAATGATCCTATTAAAATATGTCGTATTTAAATGACGCGTGAATCAAATGCACTGGCCAATACACACATTGTAATTTTCTGTATGACCACTCGCTTTCAAGGACACCGTTGCATTCGATTTCATAGCCGAAAGAAAAACTGTGAAGCCTATGATCCCGAATGGCACCTGTTTACCGGTGCCAAATAAAACAGTCTCTCGATTGGCTTGAGAGTCGAGACCCAGGCTGGTACGAGGAGACGACGTAAGTGTAAAACAAAATACATAGGTATGTTTTCTGCTGACTCATTCCGGACCCGCTGCCTGGGCCACAGAAGCAGTATGAATGTGAAGGGACGTTATTGGAAATATAACCGATTACTTACGATAGTTTCGTTGGAATTGCGCGTCAAAAATTCACATGACTGGAAAGTGATAGCAAAAAAAGCAACAAATGATGACTTTCTCGTGAACCTGTTCGGATATCGCTATAATATAGGATTGTATGCATATAGAGCACCTGTTCGGAACCTGTTCGGATATCGCTATATTATAGGATTGTATGCATATAGAGCAGCAACATACCATCGGTATCTATTCGTATCCCCGCTGCTTGATCCCAGGTGACCTAATTCTTGGCAGATCTGGTTAAATGTAACAGCAGCATTTGTCCTGATTAAGTCTTTTCCAATGGATTCTAGTTTTCTTATCTCCAGGTCGATGGCATTGCCATGGGCTCCCCGTTGGGAGTGCTATTTGCCCAGGCGTACATGGCGGCCGTTGAAGAAGAGGTGCTTGCCGTCAACAAACCGTACGTTTATGCTCGGTATGTTGACGACATATACGTCGACATAGAAAACGAAGAAGCGCTGTTAGCGCTCAAAAGACGCCTTGAAAAAGAATCAGGCTTGAAGTTTACACTTGAATACAGTGTCAACAACAAGATCAACTTCCTGGATGTTGCAGTGGACTCGTCAGGCTCGCAGACGACGACAGACGTTTACCGGAAGCCGACTGACGCTGGTAAATGTCTCCACGGTCAGAGTGAATGTCCAAGCCGCTATAAAGAGGCTGTGGTCCGGGCATATGTACATAGGGCTATCAAATGTTGTTCGTCCTTGGAGCTCGTCAATCAAGAGATTAGAAGAGTGAAGCAAATACTTACGAACAACGGCTACCCAATAAACATGATTGACAGAATAACAAAGAAAACAATGGCGAAACACATCGGACAAGAAAACGACAGTGAACGCAGGGTGACAGGCACGACTCACGTACTATACTACAAAAACCAAATGTCCCAGGCGTACAAAACAGACGAGAGCGCCCTCCGAACCATCGTTCACCGAAACTGTAAGCCCGCCCAACAAAACGACAAGATCGACCTACGAATTTACTACATGTCACCAAAAACAAGATCCCTAGTCATGACCAACAACCTAACAAGAGACAAGGCTCCACTGTCACAGACCAATGTTGTTTACCAGTATAAATGTAACAAGGAGGGATGCGCACTCCAGCCTGGTAACGCTTACATCGGCAAAACAGTGGATACTCTAGATCACCGACTATAGTCGACTACAGAATGATGTTCCACTTTTCACACGCAATTATTTGCCTGGTGTGCTAGGCACTAGGCTGTGCCGCATCACACGGGCTGCGCTCACAAATTATAGCTTTGTCCCAATGCTCACAATCGACACGCTTAATTGCGTGATAAACGGCACAACTTAGCGCTCCGGTCAACTGGTAGCTTCTGAGGAGTGGAACATCATTCTGTAGTCGACTATACAAGGACACAAATACAAAGGAGCACCAGAACAACATAACGATGAACACCACGCGGATCCCTTGACTAAAAAACAGTTAGAAGAGAGCACCACTATCCTCTGCTCAACGACCAACCGGAGACGTCTGGGTGGCCGGCCGTGGTCACGCTTTTGCGAGGCTTATATCTCAGCAACCACTTGACCGATTTACACGTGGTAATTTTTGTAGGGTAGCTTCATTCCTTCTACCAAGTATTGGACTATTCCCGATGCATGTGGGTGACCCCTTATGCACGTGCCACGTGCAAAACGAAGAGGTGTCAGTTTTGTTATTGTTGCAATATCTCGGTAACTACTTGGCCGATTGCGCTGAAAGTTGGCATGTAGGTAGGCACCCACTAGGCACTGCATATACATGTGCCAGAGTTGGGGTGCTGCTGCACGTGCGCACGTGCAGGGGTCGTTTCCAGATCTCGGGAACGGCTGGACCGATTGCGCTCAAATTTGGTACACGGTTAGGGACCGGTTAGTAGGGTGCCGTGCACAAGTCAGTTGGGACCCATTTTGCACGTGCGCACGTGCAGGGTGCCGCTTCCAGATCTCGAGAACGGCTGGGCCGATTGTGCCCAAATTTGGCACATCGCTAGAGACCAGTTAGTAGGGTGCCGTGCACAAGTCAGTTGGAGGTACACCCTCGCAATTTCGCACGTGCAAGGCCCACCCTCTCGCTCGCTCCGTTAGTCGCCCCAAAAGGCGTTATACTGGTCAAAAGGCGTGACATTGGTCAGAAAATGAAAATTATAGTGTATAATTGTTTCACTGGTATTCTATAATTTTGCACTGTTATGTGAATTTTTTATGTGAATTATGTAAATAAAACTGAAAAAAAGAAAAAAAATTTGCACTGTTATATCTACCAATATGGTGACCTAATATTTAACGTCTTTGTCATGTTGCAATGTCCGAACTTATAATTGTATCGTGCGCAACATAGTCTCGCTGAGGATGATTGAGGGAGTATATCGAAACCGGTCCGAAAAAATGTATGTAACTTGGAATGTGTTTTTACTTGCTATCATGAATTCTATCTTCAGTAGAGTATCGATCCAAGAAAAGAAGGCGATAAGAAAACTAGAATCCATTGGAAAAGACTTAATCAGGACAAATGCTGCTGTTACATTTAACCAGATCTGCATCGAAAACAACTTGCTTCCCAAGTTTACTAATTCTTGGCATGGGGCTTAGGTATGTTTGTGCCTTTCGTATACGAAAGGTATAATTTGATTAGAATTCAATGCAAAAGCAATGCCATTTTAAACAATTTGATTGATCAGACTGATAGCATCGATACTTCGGTATAGTTATTGCATGGAGAGCTAGGTATGTTCTCGGTACCTCATCTCGCCTAACCCTTTGCCTTTTCGGCGCCCAGCCGCAGTGCTTTAGATGTGTAAAGTTATGTGTGTTCTCACGTATCGTACCTACTTAGCACTTGTATCTCAACTTGATTGGAAATGATAGGCCAACGACGCACTTTCTCTATTTCAGGGCTGTTACAAGAAGGTTATGGAAATATTCTACACTAACATTGGAATAATCGCCGGCGCTGCCATCGGCCTGGCCTTCTTCCAGGTACGTAACAGTTAAACGTCTCGTATGTACTCTGCATGCTCTGTCGTTGGAAAGAAGTTTAAGTTTTCAAATGTATGTAAGTACAGCTCACCGCTAAAGTAATGTGTGGTTTTACCAATCTCAACGGATGGCTTTGACCGATAATTTTTAAATGCGGACTGATTGAAAAGAAGACGTCAATAGATAAAGTTGTAGCTGCAAGGGTGAAGATACATGTAAGCTACATTTAAAGTCTCGTTGCAGTCTGGCTGATCGTTCCTAGGCTTCAGAAGCAGAACAAACCCATGACTGAAAGCACACATTACTTCTGCTGTGGACTGTATCTGTTATGTCACACATTGCATTGACAGCGACATTCGGCTTCTGTCCTCAGGTAATTGGCATCGTCCTGGCTTGTATGCTGGCTAAGAACGCTAAGCGGGCTCACTACCAGCAAGTATGAGGTTCGGCCCACTCCGGCCCTCACCAAATGGCGCCAGCCAACGGGCTCAATTGACAACTAGCGCCATCTCTGACCGACCTGACGCGCCACGGACAGCAGCTGTAGTCGACAACAGATCCACGAAGCATCACGAACCGAATTATGAGCGGCCAATTGAAAGACGTGAACAAGTGCAATTTTATTTGTTTTGATGCACAACTCTAGCCCATTCTTATTGACCACCATAACACCATGGAAGCTCATGTAAGTTTACAAATCCGGTCGGCTTCGCAAAGCTTTAATAGTGCATTTATATATCATTTCCCTATTACTCACAAATGCCCAAAAACATTCATTGATCTAGAAATAGCAGCGCTTTTATGATGTTAGGTTTTCACGGTACGCACTGCAAGGTCCAAAGGTGTCACTATACTGATGTAAGGTTTTCTTTGAAAATTGGTTGGCTACATGACCTTAACCCTATTAGTGGCAGGCTCCTGGCTACCCCCTATTAGTGGCAGGGGGGGGGCTGTTTACGACCCCCCCCTTGATATCTCGAGATCTAACGGGCCGATTTTCAAAATTCAAACGGCATTCGATTTCGCTCAACGTGATCTACATTTCTAAAAAAATGAAAATTAAAAAATGTCAATAGGGGGGTAGAGGGGGGTAAAAACGGGCAAATTGCAGATACATTTTAGACTGTTTATCACGGCCAGGTTTCTGAACCAATCTTAACGCAACTTTTGCCGATCGATAGAGAATGAACCAGGAATTCACATGGATCCTAAAAATATGCATTTTCAAAAATCATAGGCGGATACAGATCATTGAGATTGGGGGTACACAAAAAGTATAGTAAATAAGGTTTTTGTTGGTACTGTTTCTAATAAGGGTGGTAATGGTCTTGTTATGTTATAACTTTCTTATGAGAGAACGACTAAAATTGTATTGGTAATGCATAGGCGGTGTCAGGGCACCTATGTTGGGAGGTAAAACATAACCCCCCTTTTTGGACGCCTGGATCCGCCTATTATAGCAAAAACGTGTCAAAAGAGGATGCACAATAACTGTATATGTTATCACATGATACCTTTCATTCACTGTTCGTAAAACTGGTGCAGCATCGTGATATTCGCCCAAATGACTCGCTTCACGAATAGGACCCCCCAATTCCCAGTGCTCTGGAGCCGCCCCTGGTAAAGTTATGAACTTGAAATTTTCAGGGAATGTGCCCAATTTAGTTTTAGGAAAAGTCAGAAAATTTCAGCATCGTAGCTTCAGCGGTTTTGGAGATATTCCCGAAAAACCTGAGGGGTGGATAAAAACAACCCCCCCCCCCCCCTGCCACTAATAGGGTTAATTGCGGCTGAACACAAATAGTTTTCTTTTGGTCTTTCAAATTTACATTGCACAATGCACTTGGTGTAGGTATTATGGAGCTAACAAGTGTGGGTAGAATCATTATCACATTCACGTTAACAATATACCCATTCATTTTCAGTTAGTTTATAGCACACGTATTTAAGGTGACGGCATGTGCCAAAATGGAACGTAACTACCGAATATCTAATAGCTTTTTTGTACATTTTATAAACTTGAATAATTAATTGACTAAGAACTGTTTCTTTTTTTAGAAGCTAACTGATATATAGTGAACAGATGGAACTTCGTGTTTCAATGTAGTTTGCACACTAATGCACATGTCAATCGAGTCGTCTGTCGTCCATGTGCAAGCTTCTGGTATTTACATAGAATCGCACATAATTCCATAGATACTGTGTGGATATGCACTATGGAAACATCTGTTCTTATAAGTTCGGATGGTTTCTAGCAAGCAGAGGAGAGCGTTGGTCCAGAGTCGGTCAGAGATGGCTGTATATGAGAGTCCGGGACGGCCATTCGAAAGATTCTCCTGTTGTCACGTGTGTGACTCGTCAGTCGTCACGTTTCTATGGCAACCGAGGCACGGGGCTGGAGTGGTATTCAGAGCGAGATCTTTCTGAGATGTGATATAAATGTTATTGAAACTCTGTTCTTTTTGTCTCGTTTACAAGGCTAGAACTCCAAACTTTGGTGTTTTACGTCGTAGTTTCATTGTAGTGTAAGCTATGGTAAAACTGCAAAACAGCACTTTTGCAGACTTCAGTGGTATGTGGAACACTCTGAAATACTTGTTGACTAGGTCAGAATCAGTTCTGTATCGTTTGACGAGCTACTATCGCCAAAGCATCAGCTGTGTAATTGTGAAGTGTTTATACCTGATGTTTTTTTCATGTGACATTTGACTTAGCCTTTTGACCGTGTATCATTTATCTAGCATTATGTATAGTCCACCCTTTTTGAGAATATCTCTTCAGTTTAGTATGTTTTTGATATATGCCTAGGAATTAGCAAGGTTCAGATGTATGTGATGTAGATACTAGAGAATCGTTTTGCTTAGTTTATTTTACCACAGTTTACCTGTCGCAGACTCGCAGCTGATGGTTGCATTGGAGGCAGCGGAGTGTTGTCGTTTAATGGAGTGTCTGAACTGGAAAAACACATAGCTTTACTGGACCTTCCAATATGATTCAGCTCTATAGGCACGTTACACTATATTTGATGTTAATTACAGTGTAATGAGTGTGCATGCATATCTATATATTTAGCCAACATTTAAAGTAGACATTACCTTGTAGCATTGTCCTTATAATGTGAATTTTCATCAGCCTTCTATTCAGCCAGTGAACAAACATTACTGTTCGTATTGTGTGTACCTATCTTGTACCTTTGTGCATGATCTGCAGAGACCTATGCTGTTGTCGATATGCTTATAAATATACATTTAATTACCTTTCATTGACAATTTGTTGCTTGGCGTACATAATTTGTTACTGCATTGAAATAAGGCTCATATCAGCCATAGTTACGTCACGGAAGCGCCGAATCTACATATTCTCTCAGACCCCTCCCTCCCTCCCTCGTGAAGGGAGTGCCACTCATCAGCTGCGCCCTAATGACCGGTGAGGGGGCGTCACATGGCCGATGGAGGCGACTTTGGCACTGCCACGGCCCCGTCCGCTGAGTCACCGCCGTGCGGCTCTTTGTTGGACAACATGTTCCAGCCGGCGGGGTGCAGGGGCGGTCACACCTGCCGGCGGGGTGCAGGGGCGGTGACACTTACACCTACCGGCACCAGCTGTGACCAGTCCCTCGGGGGTTCCTGGACGGGCCTTACCCGCGCCTCCGACCCGACCCATAGAGCTCTGATCGTTTATCATGTCACTTAGATGCAGCTGTTCCGCCTTATGGCCTAGGAAGGGTTTATTGTATCAGCGCGAGCCACTTTGTTCTTCTGATCAGTCACTTTATGTCGTACAATATGTCACAAAGCCAATCATATATTTTGTGTCAGGATCAGACCAATGGAGAAATTGATAGCATCAAAAAACGATCTAATCACAAGGACAAGCTTTCGTTTGCCACGTCACTGGCGGATCCAGGGGGCATTTGGGGCAAATGCCCCCTGCCCCCGCAGCGCTTGAAATCGACGAAAATTTGCGGTTTTCAAGAATAAAACGAAAGCTAAACAAATTTTATTCGGACAAGTTTGTTTTAAACTTCACAGCATTACGTTGAATAATCAAAATCCCGATAAGTTCTTGGAATTTGGAGAAACTTCTTAGGGGTATGCCTCCCCCCCCCCCCCCCGCAGCGTCAAATACTGCCTTTCTGGATCCGCCAGTGTGCCACGTTGCACGTCTTACAGCGTCTTTTTGCCTTGAAGGCATGAGCTGAAGCTGTTGATTGTTTATTGTTTAACGACCCCATTCCCAATGTAGTTACATGGTAAAATTTCAAGGTCATTGCATCAGAGGTAGATATTATTGACTGATATAAGTTGAGGTTGTGCGCTGCCAGCCAGCCCAAGTATAGTTTCGTTCGCGGGTTTCGGCCAGAGGATCCGGTGTCACTCCGACGGATCACAATTAACCTGAATTCCGCAGGACCCGACTGGGCCGCTGCCGCCGTCTTCATTGCAGCCCATGACCACGTGATAGCCTTTACGCCAAACCCCTGGAGCGGGGCGGACGGTGCGCGTCTATTTCCTTTGGCCGGCGAGCTACTCTGACGGCAATCACGTCCTCCTACAGCAAATTTATGGCAGTGAGGTGGTCAGTAACTGGACGCAATCAAGCCCAATCGGCCATTGAGGCGAAATTCATGAGCCACCAGGCGACATTTTCAGGTCAGGCGCGGCCCACCGGCAATCAATTGGAGCGTCGGCGATACCGACGCGTCGACGGCGATACCGACGCACCCGGACACGCAGTTCGCCGCTGCGCCGTGACCCTGGCTCGGACGATGTTTTTATCAGTTAGTCAGAGTGACAGTCGGAGAGGAATCTCCGGAATGTGCACCGATGAGTGGGCCGCTCGGGGCTGCCAGCCGTACCGCGAGCACGACGTGTTGTGACGGTGGGGAGGGAGGCGGGGGCGAGTCATCCCCGCTGTAGTCGGCTCCGTGATGCCCGAGAGCCGGGTCGCTTCTGGAGAGGAACTTCCACAGAATGTTTATCCGATGTCAGAGGCCGGATTTCGAACGAATCTCGGTATCCCCAATAGCGAAGGAAGTGGCGGCTTCGGTGGATGTTGAACGGGGATGCGCCGGGCGGTGGGCAACAGGATGAGGGGGAGGGGGAGGGGAGGGGGAGGGTAGGCCCGGCCAGACGGGACAGGCGCCGTGACGCCACACTCGAGGTCACGGCACCGCTCGAGCCTCAGACATCAAAGGTACGCGCCACGTGCCCAATGCAGAGGAATGAGACCGCCCGCATGACAGCCGGGACTTTTCCGTGAAGAAACACACGCTCTTTGTTGGAGGAAGGCATTTGGTAGCACCGAAACACCGACTGCACTTAGTCGATAGTAAAATAGCGTTGTAAAAACTGAGCATGTTGTGCCACATTTCGGGAAATAATAGTCCTCTTGGGATACACAATGCAAAATGTGCATGTCAGGTCTGCTGGTTGACACAAGAGCTACCCAAGTGAGCTGAAACGATCGGAGGGTCTTGGCAATGTGTTGGAGCAGCGATCGATGCTCTATGCCATTTAGGTACTCAGCAACTGCATTGCATAGGTATATGTCCTTTGGAATTCAAGGTAATTGGTATATTGTGTTGGGTTTTAGCTTTTTTTCTAGACAAATACATAGCACTGCAGTCTGCATATTGCTATTGACGAAAATTAACGTTATCAGGGGCGTTCTGGCAACCAAGAAGACTGCCGTTTTCTTGCGATGCTCCAAATACCCGTTCTGAGAGCATCATGGTTATGGGGCTTTAGGGCCATGCCCATCCACTTCACTGACTTGAGGTGAAATTACATTGGAAGAAATCTCTTGTCCTCATTGTGCTGATCCGCAGATTTTCCCAATTGAGAGCAACAGTAAGCTTGAAAAATAGCTGAAGGCTGAATTTGTTCTCACTTTTCACCTAAGGCTCTGACTTCTGATCTGGAAACACCTAAGCTTGTCTTAGATATCGGTTTAACCCGGCATGCGGTGGGCCTCCCGGCCACCTTCCATGCGGTGGGGGGGGGGGGGGCATTTTTTGCACACAGTAGTATCTCCGAAACTACACTGAAAACAATTTTACCCGAAGCTGGCGAATTAAGCGTTGCTCTGCGGGTAGTATATGTGTATTAACTCGCCATGTCCAGCTTCTAGCTAGAAGGTAGGCAGACTTGCCTGCCTTATTACTCGTAAATATGCACCGCACCCACAGTCTGCAGTAAGGTAGCTACCCAGCACCGGATATTGTCCCCGCGGGTGTCGAGTCATTGGCATAGCCCTCACTGAAAGAGTGGGAACTACTCGAGATGTCGTAAACGCGTATCCGTGGATGGCGAACCTTTACATAACCTGCCCTGAAGGAGTTGGGTCTACTGGCACAATTAGATGGCGCTGTCTCATGCAGTTTTGAATTACAGCAATTTTTTAACTATTTTTTTGCACCAATGATATATTGGCACATTGTTTGGCGGTTTTCAAGTGGGGGCAAAAGTACAATTGTTAGGGTGCATCTTTAAAACCTCTGCAATATTCATCACGGGACGATTGGCAACGCTTTTTCTTCCAAAACTACCAAGTGAAACCATTTTGATTCTTATATAGGTCACGAAAGCAGTGCCGAGACATCTCCTTGATCTCGGGCGGTCTGTACGGCTGCCGGTGCAACTAGGTCATGTCGAATTTTCTATGGGGATTCGATTTGATCTTTCCCACCAACGTGGAACTTTCTCACCGATGTTTTCTAGGTGTGATATTATCATAATACCTATAGATAATTTCCCGAAAATATGGTCAAGCGGGGGAGTTTTTTTTTGGCCCTTGTGACTTGGTCGGCGAAGGGTAGGCGTGGAGGGTAACCCCTCTTAGTCAATAGTCATACCTGCTCTGAGCGGACATGTCCGCTGAGGCAGATACGGCTACACTGCAATGGGACCTTACTGTACCCCTGGGAGGGTGGTCAAAAATGGTTGCGGATAGGGGTACCCGCAAAGCACCGGTTTACTCGCCGGCCTTGGGTTAAATTGTTTTCAGTGTACTGGACGGATCTGTAAAATTCAAACGGTATTCATAGCCCTGTCAAATTTGTCGAGGAAAACCAAATTTCATTGACCTCGGGGTCACCGATGACGTCACAGGTCAGGTCAAAGATAAAATGTTTCACCGTTAACGGGTCTTCTAGGGAATGCGATATAACACCGAGGAAAGCGCATTTTGTCGAGGATCAGCGATAGGCTTCAGTTGCCTAGTACATATGTTGCTATTAGAGGTCACTGATAATACCAGGCCAGGTCACAGGTCAGGTCACCAAGGGTCAGTACATGAACCCAACTTTACTACTAAGGTTGTGCGATGCATGCTTTATGGCCAATTTTTCATTTCCAACCCAATGGTGTTGGTTATAAGACCATCAGATACGGTTTAGGTCACTTTCTGGTGGAGGTCAGGTCAAGGTCCCCTCCGTGGCCGAGTGGATTAAAGCGCCGGAACTCGACGCTTAGCCGGTAGTGAGAGCCCGATTCAAGCCCCGGTGCGGGCGGCCACATTTAGCTCCTACGTGTAATGGCGTGCGTGTCTGTGGCAGGGGCCGCACAGAAGCCAGGTAACGTGAGTGAGCGGAAAGGGCCGTGTCCATTCGTGAGGGCACGTTAAACGTTCGGACAAAATTCTGCCATATAGCTGGAATTGCGCGATCGGGTGGAGGGGTCAGGGTCAGCACAACAGGCTATGCTTAGTGCGGGCTCTGATTCCTCAAATCCACCCATTCAACCATTCGGACTAAATTTATAAAAAAAAAATAAAAAAAAAATAAAAAAGGTCAGGTCAAAAAGTCAAATTTCAAAGTTGATAGTTTTGCATAAAATGGTATCGATTCGATACAGCTCGTCACGGGGAGTCTAATGGTGGTCTTTGTTATGCGCTACGAGGTCTAGAATTGCTTAAAAAAATGAGTTTAAAAATTTGACTTCATCAATTTTAAACATTTATTTTTCGCTATATCTTGGCCAAAAAAGAGGTATCGATCTCAAATTTGGTATGTGGATAGAAGTTAGTAGGGACTATCACATATATTCCAGCTTTTTTGCAATTAAAAAACTTTTTTGGATTTTTCGGCTAAAAAAAAAATAAAAAAAAAATATTTTCTTATTTCTGGGGGTCAAAATCCAAACTTTTCAAAGATCCGAGATATCAGTTTTGTAGCCCTGTTAATTCTACATCCTTTATGTCTGAAACATTTTGCTGGATCTCTAAAGCTGTAGGTAGGCCTGACTGCTATTCCCGCGAAA